CTCTTTACCCTTCCCCCTTAGAACCCATTGAACCCAATAATTGCCGTTGGGTTCCTTGGAGCCCAAGCGTGGGGTTCCTTAGAACCTTGATGCTAGGCTCATTCGAATCCTGGTGTGGGGGGTTTGTTGGAACCCAGGCGCGGTGTTCCTTGGAACCTTGGCGTTGGGTTCGTTCGAACCCAGGCATGGGGTTCCTTGGAACCCTGGCGTGAGGTTTGTTCGAACCTTGGCGTGGGGTTCGTTCGAACCTTGGCGTGGGGTTCGTTCGAACCTTGGCGTGGGGTTCGTTCGAACCCAGGCGCGGGGTTCATTTGAACCTAGGCGTTGGGTTTGTTCAAACCCAAGCGTGGGGTTCCTTGGAACCCTGGCGTTGGGTTCGTTCGAACTTTGGCGTTGGGTTCCTTGGAACTTAGACCTGGGTTTGTTCGAACCCTGCAGCTGTGTTTGCTCGAACCCACGCCTGGGTTCGTTGGGTTCGTTGGAACCCAGGCCTGGGCTTGTTCGGACAGAGTGCTAGGTTAAAAAAAATTGTTGTTTTTTTTTTTTTCATGGGTTTTGTTGTTCAATGATGAAAAAGAATTGATTGATGAAGAATAAAATTTCATTTCATTGGATTAATTGTTTGACTCAGAAAAATGGTGATAAAAGTTGTCTCGAAGGAGGCAAAGAGAGGGAAAAGAAGGATGAATGAAGAAGATTCGAGAGAGAGGATGTTGGAGGAAGAAGATGAGGGTAAAATCATCATTTTGATGGGTTACATGGCATGAATATAAGCTGTAATGTTGCCATGTCATCATTTTGGTCTAACGTGTTTAAAATTTTTGCCATGTTAGTAACTCACTGTGAGTTAACAGTGGATATTTAACGGAATGACCAAATTGGGGTCAAAATGGTAAACAGTAGGGACCAAATTAGAGATTTTTTTAGTTTAAGGACCAAATCGAGGGTCCATATAATAATTCAGGGACCAAAAAAGAATTTTAACCTTTAATTTATGAAATTTTAATGGAATTTGTTCTATTACAGAACTCCTAAGAACTTAATTACCGTAATAATTTCAGGTTGATTTAAAAAATTAATTAATGAATATCTTGAAAGTTTTTAAAATTTTCCTCAACTTAACCAACAGTAAAAAATATTTAAAAAAATAAAGTTATATTTCTCAAAGCAAACAGATGCCAGTGTCCCTTTATACGGCGCATATTAGACCCTCGCTCAACCAGAA